AATATGGAATTAAGCAATTTTACTGACATCACTAGACAAGCCATTGCTCGAGTGGAACCCGAAAGGGAAGCGACGAGTTGGTCGTCCAAGGGTGACCTGGAGGAGATCATGTGAAGAGGAATTGAAAGCGTGTGGGCAGACTTGGAGCCAGGTGAAAACTACAGCAGAGAACCGAACGCAATGGAGACGCATGGCCGAAGCCCTATGTTCCTCTAGGAATTAAAGGAAATAATAATAATATAATAATAATAATAATACTGGCTTGTATGCTATATCTATACCTAACGGTTTCATTATTCTAGCTGTTATTTCAGAGATATTACTCATGTATGGTAGGATGAATTTTCTTGTGGTCTTTGATGATGGTTCTTTGTTGGTGTTTTGATTCGACTTCAAACACTTTTTGATGAAATTTTGTGGATAACCATTCTTTTTGAAGACCGTTTATAGGTATTTTTCTTCCATTCTTTTCAACTCTGGAGTGCTACAATGTGTTTGAACTCTCTTCTTTAAACAATGTCTGCACACAGTTTCGTTTGTGAGTAATTAGATAATTGCTAGTATAGTTGAGTATATAGAACAGTACCTTTCTAAACGTAGAATTCAAACTTTCAGGATTATTTCACTAAAATGGTAACTAGTGTGTTCTTTATTGGTTGAATTCAAGTGTGGTCATCAGCTGACATCAGTTAGAGAACTGCTGGAAAATTTTGATCCTCTGTGAAAGTAAAACACAAGCGGGAAACTTGTCGATGAAATTCAACTTATGCCATCTTAATCTTAATTCCACAACTGAACAAGAGAAAAATGATAATATTAGATTCCTTGATGTTCCCCCTGGTTAAAAAGGATTGATAACAGTATTAGGAAGATCAATATGTAGAAGGTCTTCATAGACGGAACAGTATATATACACTTCTTTAAGAGCTTTGTTTCTATCCAGTATAAAAAGAACCTGATCAGAACATTGTTCAGTAGAACAAGGAAGGTTTTTTTCTCTGACAGTACAGTACAATTAATTTTGAAATAAACACTTTGTAGAATATGTAATCTAAGAATGGGTATCCTAAAAACACTGGCCGCCAATCATCAACACTTCTGACTGCGTGTGTATATCAGTTTATATATGGGTAGGCAAGTACATAGGTGATGGTGTAGAAAGGCGGTTGTCTACATGCGTGATAGAGCATTTGACCAAGTGGTGTTGAATGAAAGCTGAAGTCAAACTTTAATTGGTGGATGGTGACTAGCAGTGGAATCCAGCCAAGATGCGCATTTCGTCCTATTTGGGACTCGTCATCTGGATGTGCCTGCATTTCTCAGTGAGTGATGATGTTCCCACCGAGGCTCGAACCCAGCGCTGCTCAAGAAGCCGACATGTCAACCTGAGACCGAGCACTTTGGTTCAATCAGTCGACGGGAAAATCTAAAATTCAATTAAATCAATATGACCCATTGTACAAGAGGTGGCTGTCGTGGCCCAAGTGGTCTAGTGGAATAACGCTTTGGCGTTTGAAACTATGGGCACTGGGTTCGAGCCTCGGTGGGAACATCATCACTCAGTGGGGAATGCAGGTACATCCAGCTGACGAGTCCCAAGTAGAGCCAAATGCGCATCTTGGCTGGATTCCACTGCTAGTCACCATCCACCAATTAAATACTAATTAAATGCCCAGAAATCGTCAAAGCATCTGCTCAAGAAGCCGACATGTCAACCTGAGACCGAGCACTTCAGTGCAGTCAATCGATGGGGAAGTCTAAAATTCAATTAAATGAAGTCAAACTGCCAAAATGTTCTATAACAATGCATCTTATAGGCCATGAACATGATATTAACGCTGTGAAGTGTAGTCCACTGTTTTCAGCTTCAGAGAACAAACAAACAGAAAGATAATGCAATTGCGGAAGGTTGTGCACGAAGTCTCTGTGTACAAAACAAAATGGTGTTTACTTTACCATGGTGATAACATATTTATTGCCAGCATTATCATTTCTATATTCCGTCTCTTATTACTTCTATTATCATGGGTTCGTGGTGTAGCGGTAGAATGCACACCTACCACCACACGTGTGGTCTCAGGCTCCATCTCCAGCTTACCCACCCCTGCACCTCTTTTACCAAGAAGTAAGCCCAGTAAATCGAGAAGGTCTGACGTGAGTGACACTAGCAACCCCACCTCGCGAAAAAGAATAACGCCATTGCTACTGGCAGATATGCAAGCGAAAAGCAACAAGTTGGCAGCAGAAGCACCAAAGATAGGAAGGACCTCAGGTGAACATTGAGAAAACAGAGGTGATTAAGATTCCTGGCCAACACCACCACCACCAACTACAACAACAGACAACAATCAGCATAAATAGAAGGAACCTGAAAGAAATAACCTGCGTTACCTACCTACCTGGGAAGAATAGTTTCAACTACAGGCACACGGAACTGACGAGGGTATCAAAGCAAGAATCGATCGGAAAAGCAAGACAAGCTTTCACTACTCTCAATTCTGTGTGCAGGAAGTCAACAGCACTCAGCATCAAAATGATAATAACATCCGGATTTTCAACTCCAATGTGAAGTCAGTCAGTGCCACTCACTATACGGATGGATCAGAGACTTGTACTGCGCGTCATAAACAGCATCTCAAACAAACTACAGACCTTCATTAACAGCTAGCTGTCTTCGCTCAATACCACTCAAGATCAGATGGCCAGCCGGCCGGCCAGAAAAGATCAGCAACAGAGAGAGATCTCTGGGAATGAGCGAACCAACCAACACAGCAGGAACCAACCGATTGTGAAACAAATAGGCAGGAAGAAATGGAGATTGATGGATTGGCTGGCCATACTCTGAGGAAACAAGCCATCAAGTGAGTGACATCACTAGACAAGCCATTGGTCGAGTGGAACCCGACCGAAAGGGAAGCGGCGGCGAGTTCGTTGTCAGTGCAGGGGTGAGGGTGACTTGGAGGAGGTCATGTGAAGAGGAGATGAAGGAGTGTGGGCAGACTTGGAGCCAGGTGAAGACTCTAGCAGAGAATCTAACACAATGGAGACGCACGGTTGAACCCTAATGTTCCTCTAGGAATTGAAGGAAACAATAATAATAATATACTGAAGCTTGGAAGCCCGAAATGTTCTTCATCTTCATCACCTCTGTTTTCTCAATGTTCACCTGAGGTCCTTCCTATCTTTGATGCTTTTCGCTTGCATATCTTTCAGTTTGTGGGAGATCAGACATATATCATCGGCGAAGTTCAGATCCTCCAAGTCTCATTTTGTGTGAGTCCATTTTATGCCTGTTTCCTCATTGCCCGCTACTGTTTGTCGCATTAACCTATCTACTGCAATCAGGAAAATCCTTGGCGATAGTAGGCAGCCAGCTTGTCTAACTCCTGTCGTCACTTCGAAGAATTCCGTAAGTTTCCCGTTGTGGATTACTTGGCATGCAGCATTGTCGTACAGCTGTTGGATGAGATGTATAATTACCGGTGGCACCACTTTTTTATTTATGAGTTACATATTTTCCCACGTATTTCTAATAATACATACCCTGTATTAAGAGTACTCATCTTAAGAGTTCTATCGGAATTTTATTATGTGTTTATTAAATTCTGATTTGTTAACAACGTTTATTGATTGTCTTATATCTGTATCGGGAAGTAAATGTTAGTGTTTGGTTGGCAAAAGTCTCTCGTTTTACTAACTGTCTGTCTATCTGTTTTCGACATAGAATTTTGCACATATGTGCGGAAGTTCAAGTTGCCACACTCCCTCCATGTAGCACACAAACCAAGAGAACAAAGTAGGAGAAATGCATAATAATATAGACAGTAAACAGAGGTGTGAGACAAAAGGTATAGTAATAACGAAGAACAAAAAAGTTTCATTGGAAATCATTAGTCAGTCACAAGGAGTGGATGCATCTGCACCGGCCAGCCATTGAGAACGATCACTTTGAGCTAGCCATGTCACCAATTGCTTCCAACCTTCATTGGTTTTTACCGTCCCGAGGACCCCAACCAGTCAGTCAAGAAGTTTACACCTTCCTACGTGGCTGGCTCAGACTAACTGTTGTAGATTTCATTGACTGATGAGGCCATGTTTTGGTTTGACCGCCATTAGCTCTTTTCCAACCTGACCCTATATCAGCTAACATTGCCCCTATTGTCGAGGAAGGCGATGACTAGGCATGCATACGTAACACGTGTCCTAACCATCTCAGTCGATGTAATTTCACAGCCTCGTCGATTGATTTCCCCTCCTTACCAACTAGCACTCGACCGATGGCCTAACCTCAATATTGCTCACCTTATTATACCACTTCACACGGGAGATAGAACGCAGACACCTATGATCGGAGACAGCTAATCTTTTCATGTCTTCCATAAAGGAGGACGGAGCGGACTGATGAGCAGTACACACGCCCTTTAGTCGATAGCCAGTCGGATATCACGTCTACGCCAGAGACGGTGTAAACTGGCATATGCGAAACTAGCCCTCTGTATTTGTGCTGAGATTTCGTCAGAGATCAACCCGTTGGCACTGGCTGATGGTACTTCTGAAGTTATTGAAGCGGTCAACGTGCTCTACCACTTCACTTCCTATTTCTAATCTAGGGGTTCGTGTATTCCGATCCTGCAATATCATCTTACATTTTACAGGGGCGAATCGCATGCCAAACTTACGAAGATTGCAGCTCAGGGTGTCCAGAAGACTCTGCATTTTGTCAGCGTCCTCGCCCTCGCCTAGCGCTAGACTTGTCTGTAATCTTCAGGTAATCTTTCTTCTCCTGAAATTTTAACCTCTATCTATCTATCTATCTATCTACTTCATTGTTGAATGCAGAGATTTTAAAAAAATACAAATAGTAATTAATTCATAACTGATCTATATGTATATTACCGAGATTCCTCTCCTACTGACTATTGATTACCCTTAATAATATTCAAAGATGTAATCCTCTAGATCGGCATTCCTCCTCATTTTCTTTCAATGTGTTTACACAGCTCTTATTACACGAATATCGAATGAGAATCATGTGGATCCGGATCAAATCGGTGGATATTTAATCAGTTTAGATTATAATGAAATTATACAAAGTGGTTCAGAATGGAGAAGTCATTTGGCTGATGCAATGTGTGGTGCTCCTACAGTGAATAATCATCTACCGCACCGTTTCTATTTACCAGCGCCGAAACTTAGTACAACAAGACAATCGTCCATCCATCATCATCATAATGACAATGATAATAATAATGCCGATGACAGCAGTCTATTCAATAAAGGCATATTGGCTACATTTATACTTAGAATAAAAGATATTGGTTTAACTAAATCATCAAATGTAAATATGAGTAAGTTAGTTTGTTCAATATTTTTGTTTTTGGAATGTTTGTGTATATCTTTGTAAAACTTCATGCCTTTTATTTGTTTATTAGGTTCGTTAAGATTAGTTTGTCTCGCCCCTAGACTGTTATTGTTTTTAATAGAACTCATCTAAAACTGTGCTCCTGACTGTATGTGAAGGTGTAGGTCTTTGGTTCAAACACTCACTTATCATCATGCATTTATTCCCCTTGATGAATTTAAATAAAGCAAGAACGACGGTGGTTTGTACCCATTGCTTTTCAATGGGTATCCTCAAAGGTTCATCAACAAGTATGGAAGATCTGAAGTCAAAAATGTAAAACAAATCACAGTGGAAAAAAGCCAATCTACTTTCAGCTTGATTATAAAGGTGAAAACATTACAGCGATGATCAACAGAGGGCTGAGTACACCACTAGCTATAGCCTATCCTGCAGCAAAGCTCGTTCCCGTCTATCGAACAACTTGCTCTTTGGTGCAATCAAAAATCGACAGATATCCTTCTCATGTGAACTCCAACTGCATATACAAATTTACATGTATCTGCGGGAGCAGTTACATTGGAAGAACAGAAAGAAGGGCATATCTACGATTTTCTGAACATGTACCAAAAAGCTTCTGTCTAAAGGGAACAAATGCTTTAAACAGTGCCATCGCCAGGCATCTCCTCGACACGGGTCATGAGGTGGAAATCGAGAAATCCTTTAAAATTATCAATGGACAAAGGAGCTCCATTCTCCTCAAGTTTGCCGAAGCAATTTCTGTCAAACACTTCAAACCAGATTTATGTGTTCAGAAAGAAGCAGTTATCAGTCTTTCCTTGCCATGGTAACTGGATGTCTTTATTCTCTACTCTGATTACGTAATCTTTATCTTTAACCTCACCCCTCTTTTTTATAATCTGTAATATTGCTTGTCTCTTGTTTCTATGACGTGATTTGAAATCAGTACATCGTTACCAAATTTATAAGTTACTCATCATCTTACTCACCTCTCGTCTTTATTGCGTAACTCCTTTACCTTTGTATGCATACATTTATTCTGACTTGAACTGCCTGTGTAAAAACTATGTAAGCACAATTTTCTGAGCACTTTTCACTAATTGTGGAACTTTCTGTCAACTGACAACATGTAAAATTTGCAAGTATGTTAAAACTTTTCCGTACGCAAACCTCACAATTTATTAAGGCTGTGAGCAGCTGATGAGAAACCGACGAAATAAATGATGGTACCATATTATTCTGCACAAACCACTGTTGTTCTGCTTTATTTAAACTCACTTATCAGCCTATGGGTTGGCAGTTTGAGTCCCGATATGATTGATTTCAAATAAACATTGCTGTATGTGTTTGACCACTTTGTTTTAGCTCATGTTACTTACTCATTAGGTGAACTGTATTGAAGGCTAAATACTTAGATGATAGATACATCACTAAATTGTTTGAGGAAAAAGGAAGCGAGGCGTCGGTTTTCCAGTGGTATGGCATGCTGTCCGACTACGCTGTCTCTGTCTTTCTGGATTCAACATAGAACTTGACACCGAAGTGCAGAAGTTCCAGTTGCCACGTTCCAAATACCACACAAAGGTAGACAAGAAAATGAGTGAAGATAATCAATAGAGTTTTGACAAGTATAAGGGTGAAACAGAATGAGTAATGGTAGAAAGGAATATGAAAGATTACAGAGACTGAATACATCTGCGTAAGCCATTGGCCACGATTTTGAGCCATGTCACCTATTGTCTCCAGCCATTGATTGATTCTTAGAGTCCCGAGGGCGGGCCGGGCCCCAACCCGGAAGTCTGCATCTCCCTCACTACCTGACTGGCTCAGTTTAACTGTCAGGGATTTCATGGATTGATGAGGCCATGTTTTTGTTTGGCCACCACTCACTCTTTTCCTCCAACCTGCACCTATATCAGCTAGTAATGCCCGTCGGGGTGGGGGAGGCGATGGTTAGGCATGCGCAGCACGTGACCTAACCATCTCAATCTATGTAACTTTATAGCCTCTTTCCCTCTCTGGCCAACACTACGCCTGACGTCAACATTACTTACCTTATTATACCATCTCCTAACGTGAGAAAGAGATCGTAGACATATATGATCAAAAACAGTCAACCCTTTCATGTCTTCAACTCGTATTGGCCATATTTCAGAGCCATAGAGAAGGACGGAGCGAACTGCTGAGCAGTACACACGTTCCTTGGTTGACAGTCGCATGTCACGCCCACACCAGAGATGGCGTAAGTTAGTGAAAGCAACTCGAGCTTTTCGGATCCGTGCTGAGATTTCGTCACCAATCAATCCATTGGTGCTGATACAACTTCCCAAATAGGTGACGTGGTCAACATGTTCTATCACTTCACTCCCTATCACTAAGCTAGGAGTTGACGTGGTCCAGTCCTGTAGCAACATCTCACATTTTACAGGGGCGAATCGCATGCGAAACATACGAAGATTGCTGCTCAAGGTGTTGAGAAGACTCTGCTAGATTTTGTCAGCATCCTCCCCTAACAGGACAATGTCATCTGCATATTCTAAGTCCATAAGACTATTCCCTGGTAATAAGTCGATTCCTAAGTCGTTAAGTTCAGTTAAGGATAGATACTTCCATTAGCATATCTATGATGAAATTAAACAGAAATGGGGAAAGTGGACATCCTTGACGGACACCACTGGTTGTTATCAATTCAGATGACAATTCCCCATAAGCCCTTACACAGCTACGTGAGTTTGAGTAGAGTGCCTTGATTAGTGCAATGTACTTTCTTGGCACTCCCATCACAGTCAAACAGTGGCATTGTACCTCTCGATCCATGGAGTCGAAGGCCGCCTTCAAGTCAAGAAATATGGCAATTGTTGGACGCCTAAAAGTGTGTCTATGTTCTAGGATCTGTCGGAGAGTGAAGATATGGTCTGGGTTCAATTTAATGCCTAGTGTACTCCAAAATCTCACTTAGCCACTGGTAATTATCTTAATGAAAAGGGAAGGAATGTTGCGTGTGAGGTATGTTATGATATGTTAAAGACGCTATAACTAACTATTACTACCATTGTCCCCTCAGGTTTTGAACGGAACACAGGGTTTCAACAACACATAACCATTTCACACGGCTTTCTGCAGTGTTTTTTGTTAAATCCACAGTCGCCCACAAGCCTTCATTTCCTACTCACGCGCTATCTCTCCCACGTTACTTTCTGACCCAAATCGAACTCGTTGCTGCCTATTGAAGTTCCTCTAGAGGGCGTGGCACTTACTGCTACTCACCAGTTTTCTCAATGTCTGTGCACTCTATCCATTTCCATTTTCTCCCTACATATATGTCAGGAGATAGTTCTTGAGTATGTTCGCTAGCTGCCAGGATTTGTTACTGCCTATCCTTGCTAGCCCACCATTTGATCTTCAGTGTCATCCAGTGAAGACAGCTGTTTCCCTTCTCCTCAGCTGTGCTTCTGGAAGAGTTCTGTCTAATCATGTTATTAGAGTTAACTTCTGATTATTCATTAGTACATAAATAAATCACTTAAACTTAAACTTCCTTAGCCCGGCCGACAACTGCTACCTTGTCGTGGTGGTCGGGCTTGAATACCGCAGTGACCCAACAAGCTGAACTGGCTGGGACTCATGTCCCTGCAGGTCCTACCATGTCAGGAAGGTTGTTTGGATGGCGGTTAGACTAAAAGCAGTTACCATGGGGTACAAGGGCTCCAGAATCCAATCGGATCAAATGGCGTATGAACCCATATGGGTCACCGGTAACCATGGGAACGCAGCTCCTGACGCTGCTCCGCTGCCTTGCGGATTAGACTCCAAGTCAAAGGCTCGAGGGGGGTGGTCCCTTAAGAAAACCACCTGCTTCGGTCTGGGCGCCCTGGCAGTATCTCAGCCCTCACACAACAACAAAACAATAGTTCATTAGAGTAAGCGATTAACTTTCAGCTGACAGATCACAACTTCGAACCCAACTGCCGAATACATCACTCTGAAGACGGCTAACTGCCTATAACCATGTAATGTGCTTCAGTGTTTCCTGAAATCTCAAAAATAACCAAGATGACATAAGGGATTTTTCAAAAAAGAATTACTCGGCATAGATATTGTGTTTCTTGACACACATCAAAAAGATATGCTCATAACCCCTTGATGGAACTGGTTTCTCGTCAGAGATAAGTGATATCGAATTGTTCAAACTTTAGCTACTTCTTAAAACAATGAGCCTTAAACACGGATGGAGACCATTGTATCATTAATTATTTAATATCCTCTTGGGTTCCATGTGGAACATACAGCTTCCACAACACATCTCCACTTCGTTCTATTTTCTGCTGCCCTCTTCAGCTGGATCCACCATTGCCAATAGTCTTTCATCTCCTCTTCACCACACGATCTCCTCCATGTTACCCATTTGGATTCCACTCGAGGGTCTGGCACGCGATAACCACTGTACCTCAGAGGTATTCTGTGTCGATTTTAGTCTATCCACCAAATTTGTTCAACATTTGAACTCAGCAGTGCGCTTCCACGATGCCAACTGGGATCAAATACTTGACATCCAGGTGACTAAGCGAGTCTGTTGACTATTAAGCCAATGTACTGAAATCCAATGACCGCTAACCTGAAGATCATGAGTTCAATCCCTGGTGGTGAGGTCGTCGCGGTTGCACTATGTTGTTAAAGAATCCCATAACTAACCAGTGCTCCATGGTTTTTGATGATTTTAGTAACTACTAGTGTCGGTTCTTATTGACATCTCAAGTGAAACAATGATATTATTGATCATAAAGAATCAACTTTCTCGAATCCGAAGAAAACTACGTGATTATATCGCTGACTTTCAAAGTATTAATTCGAATTTAAAATGTGAACAATGGATTTTGAAAAAATATCTAAACTTAAATAAAATATCTTAAACTTAAAATATCTAAATTCTAAACTTAATGGCTGTCTGTCAGAAATCAGCCAGTGGTCCAAGGAAAACGGTCTTAC